GGATGTCCACAGGAGATTACCAGCTTGTGTAAAGAAATATAAAATATCAGGGGGCACACCCTTTCAGATACAAAAAGAAATGCTCCTTAATCACTAATACAAAAGAGAGTTCTTGGTGTCATGCCCAGTGCCGATCCTTCTATCTCGTTCCATCAAGTTCCATCACGTGGTAACCTATCCCAATCCTGATACAAATAAAATTCTGCCTGGTAACCCATAAACCCAAGCTCAATAAATGCAACCAAAAACCCAATGCCTATTCCTCCTCCATGGGTGGTTGGCCCTAACATTGATGCAACCTCATGTGACACCTAGGCAGAGAATGTATAGGATGCAGTCAGACTTGGGATCCAAGTATCAGATATACTGGAGACATAGGACACAGAATCCCCACTACTTGTATCAGGATGCATCCCCCCATGCTCCTGATAGAAGAAAAACTTTTGCTGCTGTAGAGTATTATACTTACTTTACCTCACATTTGGTTTTTCTAACTCTGAGAAAAGCAAATATGATGCTAACCTGCTATTTGACTCACTAGCTTATTGGTTTCACCACCCAGGAGAAAATTGATTTTAAGTTTCTGCTACTAACCAAAAAGCTTTCTAGTAAAGCAATATCCTTTTCTTTTACTATAGCTCTTGTAATTATAATTAAAATGGCACTTTTTCTAGCAGATCTGAAACTTGATTTTTGTAAAATATTGTGAATTCTTTGAATTGAGCATTCATCCTTGTCTTCCACTTGTTGTAAAGTCTTCTGCATTTCAGTTTTGATATGCTTTAGCTCATACTAGTTTCCATTTAGTATAGTTGGAATTATTCCTTTACTCCTTTGCTTGCTAGCTACTTCTTCGTACTACTTTCTCTTAAAGCTTAATAAGTAGTAGTAACTTAGATATTAGGAGCTACAATCCGCTGCCACTTCTTACAATTCTATGCTTTTCTGCTACTCTGCCTTCAACTAGTAATTACTTTACTTTGTAAGAATGTAATTGTGGTAGATGGAAGGAGAAAAGGTTGAAAATAGAACTTTACATTAATGAATAAAATACAAATATTATACAGTTAGTTATAGTGTAACGATCCTACATTATAGAGCAATAGTAACCTTCATTCATACTTACATATAAGATCAAGAGGTCTGATGGTAGACTAGCGGGGCATGCAGGAAGATGTTTGTGGGATATCCAATGGTCGGAATATTACTAAGAACAGAAGATACTTAAGAAATAAGTGTACCTAAGTAGCAGAAGTAATGTCACTATGTCTGCTTACACGTAAAGGATAGGTTGGAAGATGAGGTGAGTTCAAGTTTACCCAGTTGAGGAGAGTCAGCTCACCCTGCCATAGGGAGTAGTTTCGTGTCACTATGGACATACTTATCCTGTCTTTGGGACACTATTACAATACCTTGTGTCGGAAATGTTCTCGGAGGAATTCTGGAAAATGTTAGGACTGTTTGTTACACAATAACGATCAATAGGCACTTGCTTGCACACTTATTGGAAGATTACAGGAGGAGCTAGAGTGCTTCGAACATGTAGTAACTTGACAGAATTACTCCCAACAGGCAGCTGCGGCCCTTGGGTTCACTCCTGGTGTTATCGGTCAAAATAGGGGAAGTTGCCATCTTACTAAATAAGTGGAGTCTATGAAGACATGTTCATAAAACTGTATATGTTGCTACTGTCCATCCAACAGGACGATGTTTGTCAGATATATAAGGGGGCTAAGGCGAGAAGGTCAGGTACCTTCTTTAAAAGGAATGGAGTAAAACAGGCTAAAACTGACAGAGTTAGCATGTGCTATCTGGAAGTGTCTCCAGACTAGTCCCAGCTAGTCCCTGTGACATCTGAGAAGGTTTTATACCATTCAAGCCTATACATGGCCCTTTGCCCCAGGCTCTTTAGTGGTTGTTTAAGGACTCTAATAGCATGATCATTATCATGATGAGTGGTGTGCCTGGGTATGGGACCATGAGTAGTACCCATGGCTCCCACGGCTGCTACAGCTGTCGGAGGCAGCATTGTAGACCTTCTAAGTTTGCAATCAAGATAGATAGAAGCTAGCCAGAAGACAGCTGATATCTATAGGTTCTGACACAGATCATTCATCAGCAAAAATAAAAGCTTGCGTCCTGTGCATCCTGTGCGTCAGACGCAGCAGATGCACAGGATGCAAACCGCGAGTCAGGACGTAATGGTTCTTGGCGCTAGAAATAGGGACGCAACTGAGTACTCTCAGAATTCTCTGGACGCAACCAAGTACTACCAGAATTCTCTGGATGCAACCAGATGCAGCAGCCATTCTGAGGATGCAAGCGAGTACTACTAAATTTTCAGGATGGAATGTCAGGACTGGACCTTGTGACCTAAGTCACATATTATGTATATTGTGAAAGTGTCAAAATAAAGATCATTGGTATTTATATTGGTTCTAGAATACAGAATCCAGAAAGAAAAGCTACAAGCCCCGAGGTACTGCACTATACCTCCTACATCTTAGATGATAACAACATGGGTATTGGCGCTGGGTAGATGTTCACTACACGGTTGGAAAGCCAGCATCGAGTAGAATCAGGCCGCCAAGTATGAGATGCTGCACCCAAAGGACTCCCAGGGAATCTGCCATTACAGTCAGCACTCCACCCAGGTAAACACCACTTTCATAACATGCTGTAGGTCTTCCAATATTGGCCCCGAGGGACGTCTAAGGTACCGTTGGAAAGCTGGCATCAAGTAGAACCAGGCCACCGAGTAAGGGCAGCTGTGTCCATAGGGCACCCGAGGAATCTGGCATCGAAGTTAGCACCCTGCCAGAACTCTGCCAAGGTAAAGACCACTTTCCTAACAGGCTATACCTCTACCAATATTAGTGCTGGGGAGATGTCTGGGGCACCGTTGGAAAGCTGGCGTCGAGTAGAACCAGGCCACCAAGTAAGGGCTACTGTATCCATAGGGCGCCTGAGGAGCCTGGCATCAAGGTTAGCACCCTACCAGAACTC